TCGAAGGCGGGCATCAAACGACGCCCATAAACTTTCTCGTCAAACACGCTTCGTTTTGTACAAGGAGATCTTATTTAATGATAATTACCAGCGTCACCCGTATGCGATCAATCTCGAATCAACAATTGTAATTGACACTGGCTCGATGACTCGAGGAAAGGCGCATGCGATGGGAAAGCATCCCTCTTTCCGGCGTCTCGCGTTAGATGCCCGCATGTATGCACCGCATATCGAGCCGCTAACGCGCGCGGTTTCGTACATAATATCAATTTATGTGCCATAACGGACAGTATAGTCGCGTGATTGGATCCTTCACGCACGGCTTCCACAACGCGTCTGTGATCGTATAGTGGATTCACATCTAATACCGCCACCCTATAAATTCTGAAATATTAATAATATCCTTTTCCCTCTTCTCCTACCCCTCTATTTTCCCTGACCACCCTCGCGCCGCGACGCTCGGGATGCTCCGTGTGAAACGGCCTGCATTATCTGAGAATTTATGGCCGTTTAGACAAAAAAAGGCATTGGTTCGCTTTAGACTCGCTCGCATACTGGATCTGCTTTTACTGTTGTTGAAGAGAAACGAGAGGATCGCATCACACAACTGCGAGCATTAGAATTTGTCTAATGTCAGTATTTTAAAATAGTTAGGATAATGTGATTTATATCTGTTTAGAATCCTTGTTAATATCAATATAGATTTTAGCAAATGTGATATTAAATTATAACAAACAAATGTAGTGAAAAAAACTTTCTGATAAGGATCGAATTTTTCGAAATAAGAATCAATTTTAAAATTAATTTTGATTTATGATCATACCTTTTTGCAACAAGTAAATAAAAAACCGAGTGTCACTGTTTCATGTAAGAGATTTCCTGTTAAAAACTGATAACTATAATAATCAAAAGTAATATTAGGAAAGAGTGACTATACCCGTTGGCGTCTAATGGATTTATGCTTGCAAAATTCAACGGCGAGACATGTCTCGCCTTCGTACAATTTCGGAGACTATATTAGCATTAGAGAGACGAGCATAGCCTTCTCCGGGGCCCGGCGAGGCCCAGGTAGATCATCCTACGCGTTGGTCCAACAACGACAAAACCACACCCGCCTTTGGACAATGGGTGACGCACTGCACTCCTCTTTCTACTCGCCTCTCCCTTTCTTGAATTATGATTTAGGTGGTCCTATACACACATATCGCTTTAGATATCGTTCGACTGCGATCCTCTCGATCATTGATCTCGGAATAATATATTTTCGCGGATCAGGCTATCGCCTATGGCGCAGGTAGACGCTGTTTCATATCGACAGAACTTTTTGGGGATGGGCGTACCTGTGAGATTTATATCTCATATTAATATTCATGATTTTTACTTTGTATATATTATGCTACGCTTAAATATGCTTTTATCAATTTTAGGAAAATGCTGAAGCTGCACTCTTTCGGCCGGCAGATAATTCAGACGGCGTGTATCTGATACTGTTGATTTAGTTTATATTATCCTTACATATAGTAATATTTTTCGCATCACAGTTTTATATGAGAGAAGCTGCACAAAATAAAAAAGTAAAAATATATGTTAAGTTTGTTTTGAGAATTTATCTTCTCTATTTGCAATATTTTTTAAACTTCTATTTACACGTTGATATCAGAATTTCTCTCCACGGCAAATATTTCTGATACATAGATAGATTACAAGAATCGTATATTAAATTATGCAAGGAAAATTATCGCGTCGTATCAGATATTGTACGAAGAGATCGTTTGTCTTCCATTATACAGATCTTTATCATCAGACTAGAAATTATTATTGCACACGAACGCTGAAAAAAAGACCTTTTCTTCCCGTGATTTATGACAACATAATCTAAGTAATCTTTGCCGATGCGAAAAATCTATAAGCTGAAAGTGATGACATTTCGACGATCGTAATGTCACTGCTATCGCGAATCGTGACTGCGATCGTTGCGTAACGTTCCATCTCTCAGAAGCTCAGCATCGCTCGCGATGGAACTCGCTGTTATTATCCGACGTATATGCGGGATTATTTCCATCGCGCGAAATCTTTTTCGCAACGGATTTTTTTCTTAGCGGCGCTTTGTGTAACGGAGAGCTTTGTGTAACATGAGAATGCCAGAAAATCTCTAGTGTAATAAATTATTTCTCCAGATAGATTGAAACTGTGATACAATAAATTTAGATTCAGATATTTGTTTTGATAAAACATACACTTAATATTTGATGCGCAAACATGTGCTTATTTCTATTCTTGATCAGATATAAATCACGATTTAATTAATCTGATTAAAAATACTTCTACTCCAAAATAATGTTACACATTTATGTAAATTTATTCGATTGTATTTTATTAAATAAAATTAATGCGCACGCATCCTCAAGGTTGTACAATAGATTTTCTGTCATTTGATATCTTATTGTAAGCCGCCCTTCGCCATATATTCTCTCCCTCATGTTGACAACCTTGACGATGTCATCGCCAAATCGTTCCTCTGACGAATAATAATAAGTCAATCAGGTCGCAGGCACTGATAAAGAAATCAGTAGGTCGATCATAAGTGGAAGGACCTCCAGCCGCGCGACGCGGACGTCTTGCTGACAAATGAATCTGCCGATATATAGCGTTCCCGCGGGATCAAATCGAGACGGGCTAACCGGTGACGTCTTCATACTAGCGGTCCTTCCTCCGCAACATTGTCCATCACACAAATCGCCTAACCAGCCTTCCAGGATGTCACCGATTTATTTTACGAGCCGGTCCCGTGGTCCTGGGCGCGGCAAGCCTTCCAGCTTCCCCCCCCCCTCTCCCTCCCCCTCCTCGTCCGACTGTTATATTGAGTCCTTATGCGACACGTCCTACGGGTTCTCGATGCAAGCGCACGGATCGATGGTTTATTGAGAGTCATTACTTTTCTACGTGGTTATAAGTTTCGCCTTTCCCTGGGAAGGACGGTGATGCCACGATCCTTGCCTCGAGGATATCGATACTGGTTTGGTTCTCCCCCCCGGGAGGATCGGGAGGCAGGAAAAAAGAAAGAAACTCATAAGGCAGCGCAATCACGTCTCTCGTCTCGGGAGATCGAAACTCAAGATATAAGGAGAATTTCGAGCGAGCTTCCTCGCGTCGGTAATTCCACGCGCCCGGACACGACCCTTTGCATTTTTAGTCGCACCAAAATCGCTTAAGACGGGACAGGAGTAAAACATTACTAATTTGCTCGAAAATAAAATAAATTAGCAGCTGGTTTTGTACCGGGTGTCCTAGAATCTCGATTTTAATTCTTATAACAGGTTTCGTCATTTTTGAGACGATTCTGAATTCCGCGTGTGAGACATGTTATGGATAATAATATAGTATTGTAATAAATATCGGCGTAATATGTTTCACAGCATAATCATTAGAATTTGCTTAAATTGATACGTCACGCGTCTATACCTTTTTTTTAAAAAAAAAAACTCTTAATTAATTGGGCACGTTTTAGAGTGCACAGAGTTGTGAAGTATTTACAGCGCGCCGCAGTTAATTTACGATTAAACCGCTTCCGTGACGCTCTTCGAAGGTCAGAACGTCGAGAAAGTGGTAAAGAATTGGAGTGAAAGGTACGTCTACCAGGTAATTTTTCCCGGTAGCTCCCGGTGGAAGACGATCCTTCGGGTAACCCCTAATTACCCGGAGCAATTAGAAAATTGCGCTAGTCGGAGGTAAACTCGATTCATCATCGTCCCCTTCTTAGGAATCGATCTGTCGAACACGCTTTCCTTAAAAGCCTGGCGCTCCGGATTTTGACCTGTTACTTGAGGCTAAAACCGGGTATCAAGAAATCGTCCCAAAATTGTAAAATAAGTGTCAGGTTTGATTAAACAATAGACATCCTTCGTAATTTTCGTTCTGACCTTCGAAGAGCGTGACGGAAGCAGTTTAATCGTAAATTAACTACAGCGCGCTGTAAATTCTTCACAGCTCTGTGCACCAAAACGTGCCGAATTAATTAAGGACAAAGTTTTTTTGTAAGAAAAATTGTATATTGTCGGAATTTTTGAATAGACAATTATTTAAATATTGAGAAATAATGATATCGCAATCGAAATAATTTTTTATATTTTGGTAGTAAAAAAGCGATTGATGGTAGAGTAAATTTTATGAAATCAAATATCGCGCAAGATATTTAAATCTTCAATTTAAATATTTCGTGTGCCATTATGCCCGTATTCTTGCATACAGATAATTTTCTATATGCGAAGATTAACGTTATCCACGGTTTTTTATTCGAAATCTACGAGACGACGATAATTTGCATCCGGTAATAGCAGGATCTATGCATGAGTTGCAAATCTACGTCTCCTTGCACCGTTAAAGGAGGGTGATCTCGTCTGAGTCGAGCGCGCCGGCGGTTTGGCGGCGGTGGTGGCGTTGCGGGCATAAGAAAAATTGATACGTGGGCCCCTAATGGCCCAACAAAAACGGGCCCAACAGGGACAGGACGACAAAAGCATATGCATATTATGAATGGATGAACGAGGCAAAGGAGGAATGGATGCCAGAAATATATTGCTGCGGTGCATCCACTCCCTACGCGTACACGTGGCCTGACGTGGAAGCGCGACGAGGACAGCAGGATTGAGTCCGTCCGAAGAGAAAAGAATCATC